TATAGGGAAGCCCCAAGGCAGAGTGCAGAACCCAGGGCTAGTGACAGTAGGATACTCCCCTTAGCACAGGGTCTTCACCAGGAAAAGTAGTCATCCTGGGGTGACCCCACAGGAAAATCACCGGGGATCAAAACCCCAACTTACTCCCCGCCTCCCTCCAGGGTCCTTCCTGTGGATCTCGAAGGGTTATTGGAAAACATCAAGCAAAGTCTAAGCCAGTGGTTCTCAACCTTCCTAATACAGTTCCTCATGTTGTGGTGACCCCCAACTATAAAATTATTTTCATTGCTGCTTCATAACTGTAATTTTGCTACTGTTATGAATCATCATGTAAATATCTGATATGCAGGATGTATTTTCAGGGGTCGCAACTCTAAGCCTTTCCTCCTCAGGTTCTCCCTCCATGGGTCAGAGATGTCCCCTACTCCCAGCGAGGGCATCAGCTTTATATTCGTTCACCTACTGAAGGACAGCTCGATGGCTTCCAGGTTTGGGCCATGATTTATAAAGCTACTATAAAGATTCACTTGCAATCTTTGTGTGGAGTGCCATTGCTGTATCATGTGCCAAGACTGTGTTTCGCTTTGTTAAAAACAAATTGCCAGACTGTCTCCAACGTGGCTATAATATGCTGCATCCCCACCAATAGTTCCCGTTGTTCCACATCCTCACCGGGATTTGGTACTGTCAGTATTCTGGATTTGGGCCATTCTGATAGGTACATAGTGGTATCCCCTTGCTTTTTCATTTGTGTTTTCCTGATGACATAGGATGTGGAGCATCTTTTCACAGGCATATCTCCTTCAGTGAAGTGTCTTGTTCAATTTTTTTTTTTGCCCAGTTTTGGGTGGTTTGTTCTCATATGAACGAGTTTTAAGAGATCTTTGTATATTTTAAGTTTCATTCTTTCTTTGTGCTTTTGTTCATATGCCTACCAGAAAATTTAAAATTCCCTACATGGCTCACCTTTGCACCTCACATCATGCTTACATTGGACACTAGTCTAAGAGTGAACTGTGGGGCCAGAAAGACCCAGGAACAGCACGTGCTGAAGACCCAGTTGCCCTCCCAGCCTGTGAGGATGGGGCGGGGCTGAGAGACAGGGCAAAGCACATTTCGGTGTGACGTGTTTAACACACTGATTTTTGCAACCCCAAAAACAAAACATTGAATTCCCAGCTTTTGAAAGTTACATACCAAGGAATATGTGCAGCTGGCATGCCCATCTGATGGCTCGGCTTCTCCACATCCCTAACCCCCAGACCCGGTGCTGTGGGGCTCAGGCCACTGTGTGTCACCTGGATTCCCCCTGCTGCCGGTTAATGGTTCTTGCCTACAACCCTCACTGATTCAGGCCATCCTGCTCACTTCAGTCAGACAGAATTTTCCAGAATGCTCATCTGCTCATGCACTGTTCTCTAAAATCTTCAAGGACTCCCTATTGCTGAGGCAATAAAGAAAGTGCCAGCTCTTAGGCATGTGCCCTGTCTAGGGACAGAGGCACACTCACAGGGTGTGAGGAAGTGTGTGCAAAAGTGCAGGCTGGTCCAGAGAAATCCTGGGAGATGGAGAAGGACTAGCTGCCATGCTGAAGTCCATCACCTCCTCCAGACCGGAAGGGGCAGGAGAGGGCTGGAGTTAGCAAGAGGGCTACGCTAACCTAACTCTCCCCTTTCTCTGATCTCCCGTGGCCTGAGCACAACTAGAAGACAGGACAAGAGACCTTGGAAGCTGGCCACAGGGTCAGTCTCACAGGTGTAGACAGGGCACCCCACCTGAGGCCTGGGGGGCACACATCACCTGGATTCCTGCCCGCCCGTAACTGTCCACCCTGCTCCAGGTGGTTCACCTTCCTCTCCTTCACGCCACTCCCCTGAGTACAGCCCTCCACACTGTCCACCCCGAAAGCTCTGTAGTGAGACCCCAAGACCTGTCATGAGCTGATGCTGCTCACCTCCTTGCTCACCTTAGGTTCACAAATGAAAGTGTTTGGCTCATCGCAAACCCCTTAAAGAACCGTCCTCATGGGTCCTGCTGCAGAGAGGGCCCACCTGCCAGGGGGAGACCTTGAATCACCTTTACTACCTGTCCCTGGGGGAGCTGCGCAGCCGTCAGCGCTGCCTTCTGTGACCAGCAGAGGGCGCTATGACACCGAGAGACATTGAGTGACCGCGAGTGACAGCCTCAGGAGCCCACACCTGGGGCTGCAGAGCTGAGCTCTGTGGATTCCCACGGGTGGACCGCTTTCCTAACCAGGAAATCGTGCTTTTCAAACTTCTTTTTTACTACAGTGCACGCTTTGAAATACATTTACCTTGCAGTCCAGTGCACATGTACATGTATATTTATTACCCACTTCTAATATTAACCTGCCTAAATCTAATGAGTAAAGGTATTTCATAGTGAAGTAAATGCAAAAAATAGTTTGACAAAATCAAATTTAGCTGATTCATTAAAGTAAACTTTGGGGCTTAGTACCTTCAGCAACTTAGTTTTTAATAGTTTGTTTTTATATGACTGACACATTTATTTTGTAACATACTCAGATCTTTATTGACTACATGAAAGTATTTAGCAGTAAATGCATAGAATGCATACTAGTACATTTTTTTCACCACATGCTTAATTTTTGTGGGTTTTCAGTGCAACTTACTTGGAAATGTTCTTTAAAATGCAGATGACAAAAATTATGAAGATCTGACTGTGTGAAGCAGTAAAGGCCTACCGTCTCCTTAAAGTGAAGCATTTAATTTTCCGGTATTATGTCTTTATTTTCTGAGCAGCCGAATGCAAAACTAGAAAGTCATCAGATTTGTGTCCTACTCGCTGACCTCACTGGGGCTCATGTGAGCTTTGCTGACTGGCACAAATGTAAAGTCGATGAGCTCCTCTCCGCCAGGCTTGTCTGTCATTCTGACATGTTCATTCGCATGGCAGGTGCTGATGAACCAGCCCTGGTGGGCCGCCGACTCCAGTGTGTTTCCGGCACCTCCTCTCCTTCCTGTAGAAGGTGAAGCCCTTCGAATCTGTTGTGTCTGAGGCACGCAGGTGGGAGAGCTTCTTCTTCTGTGAGTAGAAGGGAGTGTCAGCAGCACAGCCTCTGCCCAGGGAAACCTCAGTGTGGCTCTTGAGCTCAGAAGCCAAGGAGGGCCAGCAGCTCTCTAGCTGCCTT